TTGCAGACACACAGGGGAGAAGGCCATTTGAAGATGGAGGCAGAGCTTGGAGTGATGTATCTACAAGCCAAGGAAAACCAAGGATTGCTGGCAACCCCAGAAGCTGGAAGAAGCAAGGAAGGATTCTTCCCTAGAGCCTTTAGGGGGAGGACGGCCCTGCCCACACCTTAATTTTGGACTTCCAGCCTCCAGAACTGTGAGAGGATAAATTTCTATTGTTTTAAGCCACCCAGTTTGTGGTACTTTGTTACATTGGCTCTAGAAAACTTCTTTCTTCTTCCTAGAAAGAGGATATGATTCCTTGAGGAACAGCAGACATCTTATGAGCATAAGGACAGAAGCCATATGCTAAATAAGGCTGGTAGACCAGAAAGACAGTAAACCTGTCTCCTTGGGGCAAGTTCCCCAGATTTGAGGTAAATAAATCCTAGATGATTCAGCTGTCACTCAGGATTTCCATTAAAGAAGGTACATTTCTTTTTTTTTTCTTTTTTTTTTCTAAATTTAGTTTTAACATCTTTATTGGAGTATAATTGCTTTACAATGGTGTGTTTGTTTCTGCATCACAACAAAATGAATCAGTTATATATATACATATGTTCCCATATCTCTTCCCTCTTGCGTCTCCCTCCCTCCCACCCTCCCTATCCCACCCCTCCAGGCGGTCACAAAGCACCGAGGTGATCTCCCTGTGCTATGCGGATGCTTCCCACTAGCTATCCACCTTACGTTTGGTAGTGTATATATGTCCATGCCTCTCTCTCGCTTTGTCAGAGCCTACCCTTCCCCCTCCCCATATCCTCAAGTCGGTTCTCTAGTAGGTCTGTGTCTTTATTCCTGTTTTACCCCTAGGTTCTTCATGACATTTTTTTCCCCTTAAATTCCATATATACGTGTTAGCATACGGTATTTGTCTCTCTCTTTCTGACATACTTCACTCTGTATGACAAACTCTAGGTCTATCCACCTCATTACAAATAGCTCAATTTCGTTTCTTTTTATGGCTGAGTAATATTCCATTGTGTATATGTGCCACATCTTCTTTATCCATTCATCCAATGATGGACACTTAGGTTGTTTCCATCTCCAGGCTATTGTAAATAGAGCTGCAATGAACATTTTGGTACATGACTCTTTGAATTATGGTCTTCTCAGGGTATATGCCCAGTAGTGGGATTGCTGGGTCATATGGTAGTTCTATTTGTAGTTTTTTAAGGAACCTCCATACTGTTCTCCATAGTGGCTGTATCAATTTACATTCCCACCAACAGTGCAAGAGGGTTCCCTTTTCTCCACACCCTCTCCAGCATTTATTGTTTCTAGATTTTTTGATGATAGCCATTCTGACTGGTGTGAGATGGTATCTCATTGTAGTTTTGATTTGCATTTCTCTAATTATTAGTGATGTTGAGCATTCTTTCATGTGTTTGTTGGCAGTCTGTATATCTTCTTTGGAGAAATGTCTATTTAGGTCTTCTGCCCATTTTTGGACTGGGTTGTTTGTTATTAAGCTGCATGAGCTGCTTATAAATTTTGGAGATTAATCCTTTGTCAGTTGCTTCATTTGGAAATATTTTCTCCCATTCTGAGGGTTGTCTTTTGGTCTTGTTTATGGTTTCCTTTGCTGTGCAAAAGCTTTGAAGTTTCATCAGGTCCCATTTGCTTATTTTTGTTTTTATTTCCATTTCTCTAGGAGGTGGGCCAAAAAGGATCTTGCTGTGATTTATGTCATAGAGTGTTCTGCCTATGTTTTCCTCTAAGAGTTTGATAGTTTCTGGCCTTACATTTAGGTCTTTAATCCATTTTGAGCTTATTTTTGTGTATGGTGTTAGGGAGTGATCTAATCTCATACTTTTACATGTAGCTGTCCAGTTTTCCCAGCACCACTTATTGAAGGGGCTGTCCTTTCTCCACTGTACATTCCTGCCTAAGAGAGGTACACTTCTGACTAAGGCACTATGGTCAAGAGGAACCGACATAAGAGTAACTTGAGTTGACGTCTCAGCCATGTTGTTCTGTAGATGGGTGGCCCTGGGCAAGTTGTAAAAAATTCTTGACCTTCATTTTATTCCTCTGCAAAATAGAAACAATAATATGTACCTGGGTTTTAAGTGAGATATTTTATGAGAAAGCCAGGGGTCATCAACAGGGCAGGGGAAGCAAATACAAATTTCCTAGACTGTGGAATCTCCCCAGGTGCCTGGATCCTGCCTGTTGCCTGTCAATACAAACACTACATGGAGACCATTCCCCCCACCATGCTTGCTGGCAGGGACTCCCCCCTACTTTTTAGTAGGAAGCAGCTCTTGACAGCCCTGGTAAAATATAAAGAAAGTATCTTATAAAATATAAAGAACCATACCAACATTGAGGATTATTTAAGTACAAATTAAATAGCTCCATCACATAACTTATCTAAGAAATATTACTGGGATGAAGGGCTCCAGATGCCCTCATCCAACAGTAGAGAGCAGAGGTGATTTTTTTTCAAGTTCTATCTGGGGTAGAGTCCTACCCCACAAACTTCTTGAACCATGCCTTTCTTGCCCAAAGTATGTCCTTCCCATCCCAGAACCTTCCTTTTAGTTATGAGCAAATACAAGACAGGAGCTAACAGCCTGTGTTGTCGACACTTCCTAGTCAGAAAGCAGCAGATAGATAAGAATGAAAACTTGTTCCAAAGGCCCACAGGCCCTGATGTAATTGAACGGCAAATTCAAGGGAGACCACAGAAGCCCACCGCTGCTCCCTGGACATCCGAGGTGGAAGCTGGGCTTTCTCAGAAGGACACGTGAAAGAGACTCTATCTCACCCCACCTCCCACTCGGCAGAAAGGCCTCTCCATGAACAACCTCAATTTTCTAAAGGGCTGAAGCTTCCCGAGGTTCAGAGCATCGAGACGCAGGTCCAGGTGGGCCCTGTGTCCCAGCTCCATCAGTGCCTCGTTCCTCGCAGAATTCAATCAGGTCACCTGTTTGCAGATTCGAGTCTCCACAGTGGCCAGCCCTGGTCTGTCTTTTCCACTTCCTGCCGCCCTCTCACACCCTCTCACCACTCTGGAGCTAAGTGAATACGGTTTTCCAAATATAGTTTTGCAGCCAGTGTGTTAGGCCTTCTAATGAGCCACGGTAATTGCTTCTGCTATTTTCCAAAATGGAAATCAACCTCGGAAGAGCAGCTGGGTTGTTGCAATGTTCTCCTCCCTCCGATTACACCCCCCTCCCTACAAGTCAGTCAGGCTGCAGCCTTGACTGCTTCATCTGTGAGCGGGGCCTGTGGGACCCGCAGGAGGAATATGCTGATGGCAGCACAGGCAGGGAGACGGAATAAGCGCGCTATTGTGTCTTTATTGCATTTGGGGGAGTACGGAAGGAGGAGGTGGGAGGGGAGTATGGAAGGAGGAGGTGGGAGGGAAGGATCTGCCTTTACTTTTGATTTCTAAGATATTCTCTTACGTGTTGTGCTTTTCGATGCATCTGAAAAGATGACCAGGTTTTTAGATGACAGAGCAAAGATGTTTCCGCCCTCCTTCTTTTTTTCAAGAACTGCTCCGAAACAGCACAGAGAACAAGAAACAGAAACACAAGCCCCGTATTCGTTAAGGGCAGGAGACATCTGGAATCTGGAACCACCATATATGGAGACGAGAAACAGATGGAGGAACGGTAAGGTGCTTCGTAGATAGAGGTACGGAAAGTTAAACCTGAACGCCCAAGGGGGTCACCATTGCAAATCAAGCTGATTCACTCTGCAGAACACGGGGCTTCCCGGGCCCACGAACGGCAGTGGCCAGGAGTGAGCGTGGCCCTGCAGACAGTCCCTGCGGGAGAAAGGTCATAATACCAGCTACCATTTGTAATGTGCTTACTGGGGCCTGGCTCTTAACAAACATTCTCTCCTGCAGTCCTCACGACAGCAAAACATATTATTGTCCCCATCTTGTAGATGCAAACACTGAAGCTCAGAAGGATAAAATCATTTGTCCCAGACAACAGAGAAAAAGATTCTAAACCAATGGAGGCTTAATTCCAAAGCCTTACCATCAGAACCCCACCTCTCCATGTGAAACTGAGGCAGGGGTCGCAGCTGTAGCTACGTTGACTATGTGGCCAGGCTGTCGTATGGCTGGTGGGGTTGCGAGCAGGCACTGGGCAGGGCCGCTGCTGTCTGACGTCCGGCCCTACTGCGTGGCTCGGCCATTTTGCTGAAGCTACCCTGTTGTTTTGAAAATTCCTATAGAAATGGAAGTGTCCCCACCTCCCCTTCAATAGGATCTGATCTGGAGGGACCCTCCTCCTGGAATGGGGCTTAGACCTAGAAAGTGAGTTCTTTGAGGCCCACAGTAGCCAAGGGTCCACCAGACACACTGTTCTGGGTCCTGAGGGGGAGGGCGGGCTAATCCCTTCCTGCGCCCTCCTGTTTGCTGCAGCCCTGCTGCCTCTCCTGTGCCACCCAGAACAGGTGCCCATCCCACTGCAGCTTCCCGCCCCTCCCCTCTACCATCGGGTCCACTGGTCGCCAAGCGCACACACGTCTGGGTGAACCTCGGTCATGAGGAAACCAAGCATCCCATGTCGAAACCTTTAAAACAAAGTCTGCAGACACGTGATGAGAGTCTACTCTGCTAAGTGGTCACTGTAGGCACTTCTGAGGTGAGAAAGACAAAGGGCATGGCGTCTGCCCTCAAGAATCCATAACCAGCTGGAGCTTCTAGCATCAGCCCCAGAAGAGGGCACTGAAAATACCAGGCTGCGTGTGGTCAGGAGCAGGGGGAGAGGTTCTCAGCATTAGGGAAGTTGTTCTCATCGTCTGTTGTCTCTGGCTCTCCCATTACATTGTGAACTCTTCGAAGGGAGGTGGTTTTTCTTTCCCCCAGGCCATAGCAGTGTGTGGGTGAGCATTTGTTCAGTAAGCATGTTTTGAATGAATGGAGGAAGGAAGGAAGGGAGGGAGGGAGGGAGGGAGAGAGGGATCCGTATGTTCAGAGGAAGGAGTACTGCACAGACCTGGAGTATCAGGGAGGGTGTCAATGAGGACGTGCGTCTGCAGCCAGGCAGAAGGTTTGTCATCCAGTGACTCCACGTTACCACTGGAAACTTCCAAAGGACAAGACAGTCCCAGAAAGAGACTGACTTGAGAGTGAGCCCAAAAAGCAGGCTTGTGGCAGTGAACTCTGGCGAGACTGATGGAGACAAATGGATGTCATGGGGACACCAAAACAGAGCCTTTCCAGGAAGCAAGTAAAAAGTCAGCTGTAAGTAAAAGAAGTATCTAGAAACAGATATATGTTCTGACCCAGATGTTGCCACTGACTCTAAATTCCTATCTTGCAAAGACAAGGCAACTTTTATAATGCATTTATTTTTACTCCTGCCAGACAGCCTGCTCGTACCCCAGGCGGCTGCAACAGTCTGCACCTACAATCAAAGGCTATTCAAAAAAGTGTGAAATTCTTTTTTTTTAACATCTTTATTGGAGTATAATTGCTTTACAATGGTGTGTTAGTTTCTGCTTTATAACAAAGTGTATCAGTTATACATATACATATGTTCCCATATCTCTTGCGTCTCCCTCCCTCCCAGCCTCCCTATCCCACCCCTCTAGGTGGTCACAAAGCACCGAGCTGATGTCCCTGTGCTATGCGGCTGCTTCCCACTAGCTATCTATTTTACATTTGGTAGTGTATATATGTCATGCCGCTCTCTCACGTCGTCCCAGCTTCCCCTCCCCCCTCCCCGTGTCCTCAAGTTCTTTCTCTAGTAGAAATTCTTGCTGGCATTGAACGCCTCAGAGTCATGGGTTCCTATTTGCCACTTATGATGACATCCAGCAATCAGGACCAGTACAAACTAACTTCTGCCCATGCTACTAACAGATAAATTGAATCGATGGTTATCCCTTCATTCAAAAAACATTTACGAGCATGTACCGTACGGTTCGTCCAAGTCCTAGGCGGCAAACTGAGCACTGGAGATTGAACGGGGGGGGGGGTACACAGACAGGGTTTCTGCTCCGTGGACTCTGGGTCTGGTATCTGCACAGATGTTCACTTCCTTTCCTAGCTGATGCTGCTTCCAAGCCCTGGGTCAGGAAACTACAACCTGGAGGTCAAATTCAGCTCACCACTTGTTTTTGTACAGCCCTCTCAAGCTAAGAATTTTTTTTTCCTTTTTTAAGTGGTTGGAAAAAGCCAAAAGAAAAATAATATTTTGTGACACATGAAAATGACATGAAATTTAAATTTCAGTGTCCATGACCAGTTTTCTTGGAACGCGGCCACGCTGGCTGGTTTACGTGCTGTCTACGGCTGCGTTCGTGCTACAGCAGAGTCATTGCCACAGAGCGTATGGCCACAAAGCTGAAAGGTTCTACTATTTGATTTTTTATAGAAAAAGTTTTCTGACCCCTGTTCTAAGCAAACTTTCTCAAAATGCACTCCATAAAACATTACTTCTGAGGATATTAATGTGTTAGATTTTTTTAAAAAAGATTTCCATTGTCAATATATTAAAAGTTTCTCTACTCAACATTTTCTCTCATCTGGAGTGTGCCAAATACACCCTCTAGGACAGGATGTGGAGGTCTCCAGACCTGTTCCTACATTTGTTTACTTCCAGGGAATCTCATAATACAGGCGGTTGTGCACGGCACTCTTTGGGAAATACTTATCTAAACAGAGTTCTTACTCACAGGCTTTCTTTGTGTTATTTCTGACACCAGTTGCCAAAAACCAAAGCAGTGTCATTGCTGGAGAAGTAAGCCTTTTCCTACCCAGATCTGAAGCCCCTTCCTCTTACGCATAGCCTGGTTGTTCTGAAGCCTCCCAGTTTGATTCCAGCTGAAGAATTAAGTAGTTAATCCCTACCTATCACACTTAGAGTTTCCATATGCTTCCCGAAATGAAACCTTGTGGGGAAGATCCCACCCCCTCGCTGCCGGTTATCTTGCCGACAAGCTGCTCTTGATTGATTCTGTAACCACGCACCGATTCATCCACATACGTGCGCATAAAGGGTCTCAGGAAGAGCCCAGGGTGGGTCAGCTGGGGCTCCAGCACGCTGGGACACATCTGGAGAACTGGAGGTTATCTGCACAGGGGCTGAGAAGCCTCCTGGGGGAGGATTAAGGGAGAAATAAGCCAGGCATAATGACTGACTCAGTAAGAACGTCTTCATCCTTCTAGGGGAGGGCAGTTCTGAGGACCGTGTGATCTCTGTCCCATAGATGCATCCCCTGCTTCGATACCCGCCTGCTTGAGTCCTGTGAAGAGGTGGCAATGCAGAAAGCGTGTAAATAAAAACTGAAAGAGGTGTTTCTTGAAATTCATAAAATCTTGAGGCCTGAGTGACACTGCTTCGAAACTGAAGAAGGCATGCTTCCCGCCATGCCGCGAGGCATTGGTCTGGTAAGTGCTCACGGCATTGGGGATGCTGCTGCCCAGGAGAGAGGGCCAAGCAGTAGCACAGCCTCCTGGGGGCGCTGTGGCCACTGGAGAAACCGCAGAGCCCCACCTGCTCCTCAGAACAGTGATAGATGGTGTGGAACCACCAGCCAGCAAGAGACAACCTTGCCTGGTGGAGCAGTGGATGTGATGGCCACCGGCAGGTGTTCTGGTGTCCAGGGCAGAGGAAGCCTCTGCTCTTCCAGTGGAGTAGCAGCAGAAGGGCAGCTGCATCTCCTAGAGCACAAATGAGACTATCTACTCTCCCTCCCAGGAGGGTGGGTACCAGGAATCCTTGGGGCTAGTGGGCACGGGGCTGCCATTCTGTGTCAGGCTCATGACCAGTGAGCTTGCGACCTTTGATCTCACTTCTAGTCTCAGAAGGTGCATGGGGGAAATTTGGATTTCTTCTGTCCACTAACAGAAACACACATAATCTCACACAGTTGCATGTATTCCTATCAAGACATGTGCTATGAATGTAAAGGCTCACAGGTACCCAAGCTGTGCTTGTATATGGAACCATACGTTGTTAAAATGAGGTGGGAATGGGTGAGAGTTAGGTGGAGGGTTTAAGCGGATGAGTCTTGGGGTTGGGGGTCTCGCCATCCCTGCTTCATCCAGAGAGCTCTGCTTTTATCTGTTCTATGCACTGTGCTTCTACCTAAAGATTTCTTTTAAGAAAGGTTTTCGTGGCAAAACAAAGAGCTGTGAAAAACCCACTTGATATAATCCAACACTATTATTTTATAAATGAGGAAATGGGGACACAGAGGGGTTAAATGACTCACCTGAGTTCATGAAGACAAAAGTGTTGGATTAAGGGCTCGAGTCCAATGTTTTTGTTTTGGTTTGTTTTCCTATTACACCTTGCAGAGAAAGAAGGAATATACACTGAAACAATGAAGTCTGGGTATTTTACACAGCTTCATGTGTTTCATAGTTTTAGTGGTCAGAGGTTTGAGAACCGGCTTATTAGATCTTTTAATTTTTCTAGCTGTGATTTTATAGCAAGAAAAATATTAGCTATGGGGGCAAAAATGTAGATTAAATTCATACAGTTATGTATCAAATCACCACAGTTAATACAATTTTCAATTCAACTCTACAGTTGAATTAAAGTCTACTTAGACATGTTGTACTAATCAGAAATATACAACAAAATGAGATCATTGTGTTTTAGAAAGAGCCTTGAAAAACAATGGCCCAGTTTTCTAAGCACAGAAGGAGACAAAAAAGATGACAAGAAAGTTGGCGAAGAAGTTCATGAGTAAATGTAAAGAGAATAGAATTATTCACTCTGCAGAAGAAAAGGCAAAAGAAGCTAACCATTTCCTGGGGCATAAAGTATCTCTTAACTGAACTGCGCTCCTTTTCTCATCCACGAGGAGGACAGAGTAAGAGTGAACCTTTAGAAAGACCATGGGAGCTTCAAGGTGGTATAGAGTCTGAAGAGTAGCTCTGAGGTTCTCCAGGCCATGCAGAGCTATAAGGATCAGAGGTAGTGCACGTTTAGTGATCATTCCAGGGAAGAAATGATAGCTGGATGACTCATGGTCTCTGTTATTATTTCAGAAAATATCAAGTATCACCATATGGTGGAGGCTAAAGGCAATTCATCCAGGAGGTGTAGGGGTAGGAAGCGGGAGGCCAAGGCACCACCTGTACACTAAGACGGTTACTTGGAGTGCCCACCCACCCTGCACGCTGCCTCCGTAACCAGCTCTGAGTGCCCTTTGTACCCTACCCTGCCCCTCCTGCTGTCAATTAGAGATTCCCAGCTGCCTGCTGGTACCGTGGCTGAAGTTTACAGATGAGCGTTGGAAATAAGGCAAAACACTTTCTTAGAAACTTAGGTTGCATCTAATGTCCTCATTTCTTAATACGCTGTCATAAACTTCTGAAACATGATCGAGTTCTGGACACAAGTGACTATCACACATCCCTCCCTGTGTCACCATTTTCCCTTTCTTAGCAGAGAAGGCATTTGAAGCTGGTAGAATGGGACACACACAGCTGGGAGCCGGACGCAGGCACATCTTCCCAGAGGGGGCTGTCATAAAACATATGCTCACATGAAAAGAGACAGAGATGGTATTTACAGGAATTGCTAGCCTAACCCTTAGTACCTTGGCAGTGCCCACTTCCAGAGAACAGGACACCACGGACTGTCCGATTGTGCATCTTTCAAGTTCCCTTGTTTTCAGACTCCAGATGTCATGTCGCTATATTGTATCTATATCTAACCTTGCAGCCCCAGGGCCCAGTGATGGTAGATATTTGTAATGGGAAAAAAAAAAAAAAAGATTCAGAAATAGTGATTGTTCACTTCAATTTTAATGGACCCAGAAGACGTATTGGAATCCTATGGAATGAAAGGATTATTTGTGACTGACGAAAGCTTTTTGTTCAGTTAACCCCAAGTCATCAGCATAATTAGAAAGTGAAATCCAAGATTTCAGAAAGGTGTATTTGCAAGTTGGTAATTATGAAAGCCACCAAAAGCCAACTCAACAATAAACCTCCAACTGACTAGCTTGCTTGATGCCCTGAGATTCTTGGATGATTTGGTGTCAAGTGCCCCTTTCACTTTCAGGAAGGAGGAAATGAGCAGCTGAGACTCTTGTCTTCCAAGGACAGACCCTGACTAATTCTCTCGTTGTTCCTGCCTTTCTCAGTCTGGGCAAAGCTGTAAGCTGGAAAACTCAGCTTCAGATGGTGAGGCACTCTCTTGCAAATTCCAAGGATTTAGCGGGAGTGGGTATTAATAATTTGCAATGTCTGGTGGTGACTCAGGTCTCCGCAGACCGGCTGTTTAATCTGCAGCCAAGCCCCATTTCTCTGCCTGTGGCCCTGGTCCCACATGTCCCTTCCAGGATTCCGTATTTCACATGAGTCTTTGAGGTTGTAGACATGGCTCTGTCTTCATGCCTCTGGAAGTATGAGACACCCAGGAGGCAGTGCAGGCCCCTTTGAGTGTAAGTTGTGGAATCAGCCTACTTTGATTTGCTGTCACGAGTCTGCTGTTGAGAGCAGCTGTGCCCCAGTTATTACTCAGGCTAAGAAGACGACAGCTTTTACCGATTTACTTGGGAAAGTCTTTGGAAAGCATCTAGATGTTCTCCAACTTTGGCCTATGGATAGGGCATGAGAGTCATTTTGTATACTGCTCAATTTGGAGGGTCTGGTTAATTGCAGCAATTTTCTATGGATTTTTAAAAACTGATATTTCAAGGACTGACCTGAGCAATTATTTCACTGGTCATTAACGTGAAATGGAAGAGAGAGAAAAGATCAACAAGATGGCGTGGAAATCATGCTGCTTGAACGAAACAATTATAATAGATACAAGAAATTTTTTTAAAGTAAGCTACTAAAATAAGGAAGAATGGTGGTGACTAAAACTTATGTAAAGGCTGATTGAAACTTTACTCCCTCCAAATGGGATTTCATCTCTAGTGCGCTGCAAATGTCCTTAGAACCTTACTCTCCCATATGCTGTCCCAGTAACTGTCGCCCACTCCCACTCCATATCTCTCCTCTCTTCTTCCAAACTCCTCGAATATCTCAAGTCCACATTACTGCTCAGCCCAGGCCCCACACTCCACCTGACTCCTCTTCTCACCTCCTTACTGAATTCTGTTCCACCAGAAACACTGTCATTTCCGACATGCATCACTCCAGCCAATCTTGGTTACTTTCAGTTCTGCCCTACAACCTGACTCTGCAAACAAAGAACTAGAAAACAGCACAGAAGCCTTTTGTACAGGTGGAAAGGGGAAGAGCCTCTGAATAATCCTTAATTTTTTAAATTACACATGCAAAGGCCTAGTATAAGGCCATAGCAAGAGAAATGATCAATAAGTAATTCACTAATATTAACTATAATGAGCTGGAGGAAATAGAGTGAGGTTAAAAAGTGAAAGAAAGAAAAAGAAAGAAAGAAAAGATGGAAAGAAAGAAAGGAAGGAAGGAAGGAGAAGGAAAGAAAGGAGAAAAGGGAAAACAGCAGTTCCGTTGTAAAATTTTGTTTGAAGTCCCAAATTTAAAGTTCTAACTCTGATCACAGCAATGTAGAAATGGCCTTATTCTTAATAAAAGTTATATATATATAAGGTGAGAAACTGTGACAAAACTATGCCCAGAATATAGCATGGAAAGAAACATATATTCAAATGATAATGGTCGTTGCTTGGGGAGGTAGATATGCAAGAAATGTCATTTTGGAAAAAAGAGTAACTGATAATACACATAGAATCAAGCTGTAACATCTCCCCAGCTACACCAGCCTTCCATATCATCATTACTGAAACTCTTTCCACTGACATAGATATTCTTCATTGTCTCCCTTCTTCCTTCCTTTCCTCCCTCCTTTTTATCTTCTTGTCACTGTCTTAACCCATTCAGTCTGCTGTAACAAACTACCATAGACTGAAGAGCTTATAAACAACAGACATTTATTTCTCACAGTTCTGGAGATTGGGAAGTCCAAGATCATCGTGCCAGCACATTTGCTGTCTGATGAGAACCCACTTCCCAGTTCATAGACAGCTGTCTTATCTCTGTGTCCTCACATGATGCAAGAGGTGAGGTTGCTCTCTGGGGTCTCTTGTATAAGGGCACTAATCCCATTCATGTGGGCTCCACCCTCATAACCTAATCATCTCCCAAAAATACCACCTCCTAATACCAACACATTGGGGGGTTAGGATTTCAACGTGAATTTTAGGGGGACACAAATATTCAGTCTATAGCAGTCACCTTCAAGGTCATTCAAGGATAAAGATATTGATGAGGGTAGGGTTTCCATGCAATGTGACTTGTCTGATTCTCTTTGAAAATAGTCATAATGGGGCTTCTACAAATGTGAGGGAGGAAAGCAGTACTCAGTATTGACTGAACACATACCAAGTCTCATGCTGTACCCTTGACAAGCACTAACCCTCTCACTTTTTTGTTTTCTTTCACAACAATCATGTGAGGTGTGTCTGTAATTACAGTGGAGTTATATGATGCATGTATTTGATTTACTCAACCTAGAGAAATTAAACTGTGTGTACTTCCCAGAGAAGAAGGTGGTGGTGGAGTGGGAAGAGAGAGAGATTGCGTTTCATATAATTGGTGCAAGTGATTTTGCTCCCGCTTTCACTCCGTGAACTCAGGCACCAGAGTGCCCAGAAGATGTGTGTTTCCTCGAACTCTCTCTCTTACCAGGGTGCCTCCAGTGGTGTTTAGCATCTCGGAGCACCAAGACTGATTTCAGTGCCTAAATTTGCAATACAGTGTTTTTCTTCCAAAATGGCTCATACACTGAGGCCAGGATTTTATCTGTTCCACTGTTGGAGGAAAATCTAGCTGTGTGAGACCCAGTGAGAGATGATTTGGGAGATGACTTTGGAAGAGAAACCATATAGGTGCATTTTGGAGCATACTGTCAAGAAAAAATTTTGATACATGTGATATTTTACTTCAATTGTTCCGTCTTATCTCACATGTGAGACTCCACTTTATCTCCATTTTACAGATGGGAAAATTGAGGCTCAGGGAAGTTAAGTAACTTGCCTCCTGCCATATATATGGGGCCGAGATGAGATCTAAGCCAAGGCAGTCTGGCTCCTAAGCACATGCTCTTCCAACTCTGCTTAAATCCAGCTGCATTCTCTCCTTGCGTCCCAGTTTCAAACGGTCACCTGCTTCTTGGCCATCTCCTGGGTGTCCGTGTCATCTCGCTTTTCGTTTGCTTCGGTTCAGGACTCTTTTGACAAAAGTAATCGTCTAAGTCGTTTTAGAATATTTTTGCCACACAGGTCATAGGCAGTTACTGGCATCTTCATTTTCCCGATAAGGAGCTAAGTGGGAGATAAGTTTGGGAATCTGAATGCTCCCAACTCAGCATCTGTTCATGCTGGTTTTCGTGCAGTGCCCAGGAGTGCCCACAGCCAGCTGTCTCAGTATTTGCTGAGAATTTAGGGTGACAACTGATGGAATGACTTAGTGAGACCTCGGAGAACAAACAAGGATTTTATTGTCTTTATCTGGAAACGTGTGGCGTAGTCATAGACTGTGTTGGGGTCCAGAGTTACTGATGGCATCAGGACCCTTTGGGGCTGTGTGCCTGCCTTGTTCTGATCCATCCTACCGCTCCCCCTAATTACACTGGCCGTGTGGGTGGCCCAAAGCTTCTCTCGCAGGAGGACTTGCAAGAGAGGAGCAAGGCCTCCTACCATCACGTCCGATGTCACCCTGTAGGGTATTAAAACCGACTCAAGATTGTGTTGAAAAATGTTTTCCTTTCCAGTATGCTAATAAGAACAAGATCACATCAGTGGATGTGCATCGTGGCAGGATTTTTCCGCGGCCGAGTCTTTTAATGAGCTGCTCCATAATGAGGGCCCATTTGCAAACAGTATCTGGGCGCTAGTCAAAGTTTAAAGACCTCTATTTTCCCCCAACACGCGCCCTCTTCCAAGCCATGGCTTTAATTCTTTTAAACAGTAACATTAATTGGCTGTTAAGTAAAACAGGAGAGAACACAACAGATTTATGATATTTTGAGAAGCTACAGCAGTTCTCAAGCATTCAGAGAAACAGGCTTGGCCTTTATGAGGTAATTATGATTTAGTGTTTTCTCTCGCCCTGTTGAGTCTGTGGGCTGCCTCTAAAATGGATCTGGGATGAATGTCAAAATCAGGATTTACAGTCAAACCTTTTCAACATAGGAAGTGCAAGAGAAGTTTACTGTTTTATTTCTTTTTCTCCTAAGCAATACTGCGTCGTGCATTTCTGTGCTGTTAGGTTTTGTAAGATCTCCACTCCCCAGCCCTCCCCCCGCCCCCGCTTTGAAATGGTGTCTATAAATTACTTCTCCGGATAATGCTGCTGTATCATCAAAAAGTGATTGTTTTTGCAAGCAATCACGAGAGAGCATGTCAATTTAAATTAGCTCTTTTTTTCTTCTCACCCCTTTTCTCCCTCACCCTCTACAGGAGAACTGCTTTCATCTTAGTTTTTCCACCCTTTCAGAAATGAGCAGAAACCGACCGAAGCTTGATGAACAAGAGATCTTTCTCCTTCTTCCTGTGTCTTTTTTTTTTCCGGTCTCTCTTTGAAATGAGAACTGTGTTTAGCTGTTGCCTTCAGGGACAGCAGACCCTGGGGATCTTAGGGCTCCAGGGGTTTCATCCTTGTCTCCCCTTGAACATAAGGAAATCTGAGGCAGTTTCTTTCCCTCTGGGAGCCTCCCTTCTCTTAATTTATAAAACAAGGCAGGGGGTGATTTCTAAGGTGTCTTCCAACTCTTAAGTGTTAACATTACCTATATATGTCCCAATAGTAGTATATTAGGCCACTTTGGTGTGTGTCATTGAAGAGTACATGTCACCCCAAATATGCCACTTTGGCATAAGAATTATTTTGAGCTAAAGGCATTTGAAATCCCTTCTCTGCCAAAACACAGAGCCTCTGCAGATAACTGAATTGTTATATTCCCTCCCTGGGAGCCACTCTTACCTCCTCTTCTCAGAGACCTTCTGGTCAGCACCATACCCAGACAGGCATTGTCATAAAACTATAATATCTCCCATCTATTCTCCTAAGGGCCTGCTTATTTCTCCTAAAAGTCGTTTGTTTTCTCATAAGTGCCCTTCTCCCTTCTCCTTCCCCTATAAAAATGGCACATAAGCCCCAAATTCTAACCACCTCCTTTGAATCACATGTTTTCTGTGAACTCTCTTGTATGTCTGTGAATCAAAATCTGTCTTTTCCCTTGCTAATCTGTCTTTTGTCAAGTTAATTTGCAGGCCCCTCATCACGGAACCTAAAGGATAGAGAAAAGGATTTTTTTTTTCTCCCTTACATTTGTGTGTGTGTGTGTGTGTGTGTGTGTGTGTGTAGAAGTTGCAGAGATGGGGATGGAGAGGATGATGCTAGGAGTAGTATTTTTCTTTAAACAAAAATTTTTATGAGGAAGCTTTGTAAGAGAAGGCACATTCACCATGCTTCTTATCTCTACCGGGAACCGCTCTACAGCACCATTGTCAGTACAGCTCTCCCTTCCCTAGGTAAGGGTGTAAGCATGGCATGCACTAGGGGCTTTTTGGGATTTTGTTTTGTTTTGTTTTGGTTTGGTTTGGTTTTGGTTTTTTCTGGGAGGGGGGAATGTAAGGAGGGGAGAGAAGGAACAGATGCCAATTCAAGGTCAGCAACTTTTCAATACGGGCTCAGACCACAGTTATTTAACTGTAAAGTTTTTTTCCCTCCATTTTATTTTGCTTTCTATCTTATTGGATAATCTTTGGAGGTTGTTCCTGGCAAGTTGGGAGTAGGAAGTTGCACCTCTGGTCTATTGCCTGATGTCTTCATAGAAGAGACCATTCAGGGACTTAGACCAGAGTCTAGAAATAGCCTCTGAACATTTGATTAGATTACACACTATATGAAATATAGTATGCATTGTATATAGCGCCATCGACTTGTAATGCACCCAAGATGCCATCATATAGTATATACAGCTTTATAATATGCAATAGTTTATTGCAGCTACAATTTATTGAATATTAACTATGTGCCAGACATGCTATTAAGCCTTTTTCTTATGTTTTCTCATTTACTTTAGATGATGTAGTTTATATAAACGGTAATTCCGGATAACATTTGGTGTTGGTAATATCTTCCAAGCATTTCTCCTGTCTTCAAGATAAAGAAGTTAAGACATCCGGAAAAGGATCCAACAGTAAGGATGTCCTTGCAAATAGATGAGATAATAAAACAGGACTTATTAGAGGAACTATTAACCCTTCCTCCTCCCCACCGCCAGCCCCCATCCACTCTAACCACACACATACACACACACACACACACACACACACACACACACACACACACACACA